TTAGTAGAGACTGGGTTTCACCATGTTGGCCAGGCTGGTCTCAAACTCCTGACCTCAGGTGATCTGCCCACCTCAGCCTCCCAAAATGCTGGGATTACAGGTGTGAGCCACTGTGCATGGCCTTCTACCCCTATTTGTTAACTCGGATTTAAACTCCCATGCTTGTGGGGCTTGTCACAATAAAACAACAACTTTTGGGAAACGTCAAAAAAAAATTCTCCCCTCCTAAACAAAAGAGTAAAGTTTGGCATTCCTTATTGAGAAGATTTTGGAAATGAGGCCTTGAATGGAACTTTTTGATGTGACTTTTTTCTCTTAAGGCATTTTTGAGCCATGTTGGGGGTGAAGATTCTTTCGAAGTGTGTGATATGAATTCCTGCCTGCCTTGTGAGAGTGCAGTGAACAAATGCCGAGCATCGTGGTGATCCACATTTGTCACCAGAAGCACCGTCTTCTTCCCTCTGGCCAGTAACACCGCGAGGTTCTCAGGGGCAGAGTGACATGGGTCAGACAGTTAAGTCTCCTATTCAATGTTCCTAGTCTGCCATGGTTCTTGATTCCCTGAATGATGTGCTCTGCATCTCTCTTTTTATATATATATATCTTTCCATATATATATCTATCTTTCCATATATTTTTTTTTCCAAAATTACTTGTTAACATTTGTTGATGCTTTTTTTTTCCCCCAAATCCCTCTGTCATTACTTTGTAGTCTACTGTAGAATACTGAAGCTCAGGAAAATGAGCCTATTTCCTTTTCTGTAAGATGATTTAGGGTAACACCCTGCGAGCATGGGTCTGTCCAGTCCAGAAACTTCACGGATCTTAGGAGCTACTCAGGGGACATATCACCTCTTTTCTGGCTTCTTTACTGATTCTCGTTTCAGTTGTGTTTCAATGACTGAGGCTGTGGGAAAGTGCCCTCCATGTCTGTGACGCGTCTCAGGGCCCCGCAATGAGTGTTTGGGCTCAGGGCCCAGGTGAAGCCAGCCTTACCTTTTTGTAGAGACTCCTCAGATCTCGGTACTGCCACATGCTGTTGAGGACCTGAGATGCGGCCTTGACCACTTTTGGAGAGTGTCTGATGAAGGAAAGACAGGAAAGGCAAGATGTGAGTGGGACAGCTGTGTCGCATTTCTATAATTCTTGTAGTATTTCAAACTTCTTCATTATTATTATATCTATCATGGTGATCTGTGATCAGCGGTCCCTCATGTTATTACCATAATTGTTTTGGAGTACCACGAACTGCGCCCACCTAAGACAGCAACTGTAATCAATAAATGTTGTTCCTTCCGACTGTTCCACAGACTGGCCCTTCCTCCTCTCTCTCCTCTGGCCTCCCTCTTCCGTGAGACAAAACAATGTAGAAATTAGGCTAATTAATAACCCTACAATGGCTCCCAAGTGTTCACATGAAAGGAAGGGTTGCACATCTCTCACTTTAAATCAAAAGCAAGAGATGATTAAGCTTAGTGAGGAAGGCATGCCAGAACCCAAGATGGGCCAAAAGCTGGGCCTCTTGTGGCAAAAAGTGAGCCAAGTTATGAATGCAAAGGAAACGTTCTTGAAGAAATTTAAAAGTAATACCCCAGTGAACACATGAATAATAAGAAAGTAAAACAGGCTTATTGCTGATATGGAGAAAGTTTGAGTGGT